CATTTTGATGTTTCATGTTATCCTTCTTTTTTTTCGCCTCCTCATTCCCCTCATTCTTCTTCTCTTCTCATTATCACCATCACCATTCTTTCTTCTTCTTCTCTTCCTTCTCATTTTTCTCCTTCCTCTTCTCCTCCTCCTCATTCTCCTTCTTCTTCTCGTTCTCCTCCTCATTCTTCTTCTTCCTTTCTTCCCCCTCTTCCTCTCTCCTTTCTTCTCCTCTTTCGCTCCTTCCTCTCCTCCATTTCATTTTTTTGTCCTTATTATCCACAGAGACATGATACTGTACTCTATCTATCGCTATATTTTATCTTCCATTCTCGCGATGTTTTCCTGTCATCTAAATACATACTTGCATTTTTTACTCTCACTGTATTATTAATACTGGCAGATATACGAGGCTCGTAAAATGCGTGGATTGATATTAACGGGCGTTTATTTCCTTCTGTTCCTTCTTCTTCTTCTTCTTTTCCCTTATTCTCTCTCGGTGTTCTTCCTCTTCTTCTTTTTCATGCATTCGCTTCCCTCTTTCTCTCTCTCTCTTTATTTCTTTCTCTCTCTCTCTCTCTCTCTCTCTCTCTCTCTCTCTCTCTCTCTCTCTCTCTCTCTCTCTCTCTCTCTCTCTCTCTCTCTCTCTCTCTTTTATATATATATATATATATATATATATATATATATATATATATATATATGTATGTGTGTGTGTGTGTGTGTGTGTGTGTGTGGTGTGTGTGTGTGTGTGTGTGTGTGTGTGTGTGTGTGTGTGTGTGTCTATCCTACTTTCCCTCACTGTCTTTCTTTTTTGTCTCTCTCTCTCTACCTTGTGTGTGTTTATATATATATATATATATATATATATATATATATATATATATATATATATATATATATATATATATATAATACATATATATGCATATATTTATGAATATATACATATATATGTGTGTGTGTGTGTAATGTATATATATATATATATATATATATATATATATATATATAAATATATATATATATATATATATATATATATATATATATATATATATATATATATATATATATATATATATATATGCACATGTATACATATGTGTGTGTGTATGTTCTATCTCTCTCTCCTCTCTCTCTCTCTCTCTCTCTCCTCCTCTCTCCTCTCTCTCTCCTCCCTCTCTTTTCTCTTGCCCCATCTCCTTCCCCTCTCTTCCCCCTTCTCCCCCCTCCCTCCCTCCCTCCCTCCCTCCCTCCCTCCCTCCTTCTTCCTCCTTTCCCTCCCTCCTCCTCCTCCCTCCCTCCTTCCCTCCCTCCCTCCCTCCCTCTCCCTCCCTCCCTCCTCCTCCCTCCCTCCCTCCTCCCTCTCTACCTCCCTCTCCCTCCCTCCCTCCCTCCCTCCCTCCCTCCCTCCCTCCCTCCCCTCCCTCCCTCCCCTCTCCTCCCTCCCTCCCTCCTCCCTCCCTCCCTCCTCCCTCCTCCCCTCCTCCCTCCCCGCTCCCTCCCTCCTCCTTCTTTCCCTCCCTCTCCCTCCTCCCTCCCTTCCCCGTCCCTCTCCTTCCCTCCTCCCTCTCCCAGCTCCATCCTCTCCTCTCCTCCTCCTCCTCCTTCCCTCCCTTCCCTCCCTCCCTCCCTCCCTCCCTCCCTCCCTCCCTTCCCTCCCCCCTCTCCCTCTCTCTCTCCCCTCCCTCCTCCCTCCCTCCCTCCCTCTCCTCCCTCCTCCCTCCCTCCCTCCTCCCTCCCTCCCTCCCTCCCTCCCTCCTCCTCTCCCCTCCCTCCCTCCCTCCCTCCTTCCTTCCCCCTCCCTCCCTCCTCCCTCCCTCCTCCCTCCCTCCCTCCCTCCCTCCTCTCCCTCCCTCCACCCTCCCTCCTCCCTCCCTCCCTCCCTCCCTCCCTCCTCCCCCCCCTCCCTCCCCTTTCTCCTTCATCTCAACTTGGCATCCGGTTCCTAACGTTCTTCTTACCTAATTCTCATTATAACGTTAAATGTCAGCATAACGTCACACTAATTTGATAAAATGTTCCTAAGTGTCATATTCGTCCGCGGCGAGTATTGCGTTTTCTACTGTGTCGGCCTCCGTCATCAGTCAGGGTGTCGCCTCCGTCATCAGGTGGGGGAGGGGGGGGGGGAGGGGGGTGGAGGAGATGGAGGGGGGGGGTAAGAGGGGTAGAGGGTGTCGCCTCCGTCATCAGGTGGGGGGAGGGGGGGGGAGGGGGTAGAGGAGAGGAGGGGGGAAGGGGGAGTAGAGGAGATGGGGGGGGGTTAGAGGGGTATAGGGGATGGGGGTAAGGGAGTAGATAAGGTTGGAGGCGATTAAGGGGTAAAGGGGAGGTGGGGGTGTCTTTCCCTTTTAGTGATCTATTTAATTTTTCTCTTTATCTATTTCTCTGTCTGCTATCTTTTGTGTTTGTCTCTCTGCCTGTTTGTAATGTCTATTTGTCTATTTGTATACTTATCTATCTTTTTCTCTATATGCTTATCTACCATTATTAATCTTATCTATCTATC